AGAAAAAGTTATTAGACAAAATAGTTTCATGTATACTTTAACCATTTGTAACAGAAACGATTATCCATACTTACGTTGTTTGGAAATATTTGATAAAACTCATTATAATGGAAGAAAAAGTTATTAGACAAAATAGTTTCATGTATACTTTAAACATCAGACTTCGTAGGATCCAGTTTGGTCTAGAACTTCTAAAAGGGGGGGTTAATACCCCTTAGTGCGCGCATCCGTCCAACTACTATTCAAGGTTAACTTTTATAAAGTTTGGTGAAGTGTCATAAAAAATGACTTATACATATTTGCTTTAGATGACCAACGCCAATTAGGATAGTACCGTACAGACTGTACAAGCTTGGGTCTTTTTTATTTTATTTTCAGCTAACTGTTGTCTAGTGTACGCATAGAAGTGCTAAACTAACGTGGGAGGTCACTCACCTTTTTTTCTCTTCAAACAAAGAATACACTGCTGCAAGAGATGTTGAAACCAGGTTGGGCATGAGCCGGGGATGTGGACACAAACTTGATGGGCCGTGCACACTGTGGAATGAACAGAATTAACGAATGAATACACATAATATACGCGCCTGTTTAAACACCAACTTTCCGTATTTAACGTAGCTTAATAAAGAGCTCTGGATTTAAGAGCTGGCGACCCGGGTTCGAATTCATGGGACACCACAAAATATCCCCCACACTTTAAGCTGTGGGTGCATTATAGGAGTAACAGTCAATACTTTAGCACGAGTAGTGGGGTGCCACTGACTGGCTGGCTGCCTTCCTTCCAGTCAGTAGTCCAAAATTAGGAACTTTGACAGATTGCCTTAATAGTTTTGTCAGAAATGCAAAAAACAACAACAGCAACATATTTTTAAAATTACATATTAAGATATCATAGTTACATATGCATATAAGTATAATGATGGGCCCACAGTGTTGAAGAGCAGGTGATACTTATATGTACATATGTCTCTTCTTTGCTGACCAATCGTGTTGCTGAGAAAGCATTAACTTCTTCTAGTATTGTACAGGTTTGGTGGTTGTTTTAAAGTTATAGAAAGTTTAGAAATGAAAATGTTATGTATAACATTGTATTTTTCTAGTATCATTTATTCTACAATGGTAATTATTCTCTGTTGATGTTTAGTTACCTGACAAAGGGTCGTGAATTGTTCACACTCATAAAAAATAGGGATAAAAATATCTGAGAACTTGTGCTCTATAGCAACCTGGGAAAAACCTTGTTATATTATTTTTTATGCAGCTTTTTAGTACACTTTCTTGAAAACAAGTAGAGAAATACTGAAGATTTACAAAAATGACAAATAAGTCGAGTATAGTCTGTTAAATGAATCCCCCAACGGATCAACAGTAAACCTGGAGGTTTATAACGTTATAAACCAGGTTTCGATACCATGGCGGGCACAGCAGAGATGAGTGTGATTTCTTATAGCAAAGCCACATGGGGCTATCTGCTGTGTCCATTGAGGGGAATCGAACCCATGATTTTAGCGTTGTAAATCCGAAGACTTCCCGCTCTTCCATCGGAGGACACACAGCAGAGATAGCTTTGGGCTTAACAACAAACAAATTGTCAAATGAAAAAAAAAAAACATATATGAGAAACGTTACATATATTATATTGGCCTATCACTTTTATACCTCACTGTGTTACGTAACAAATCAGAACATTATTGTTCGTCCTAAATCTCTGCATGAGGTCCACAACTGGGCAAGTTTTAACACTCATCTTTATCAATAGGCAAAATAAGCAGTCAATGGTACAGCTTGCTCTTTGAGCTTTTCCTGCTATATCTGATCATATAACAACGTTACGATATGATGTTTGTAGATATGAGCTTTTCTTACTAATACGATATTTTATAGTTTTATTGGTAAGCCTAAGCCCTAACATTCTAAAAGAGAACAACATATTTATAATGTCGAATAGACGTGTAATGTTTTTTAATTATACATAAGTTCAAACATCCTTCCATTACTCATTAACAAACAATGTATAAAGATATGTATTTAAAAGATATACTGGAAATAATACATATCACGAGAAGTCTCTATAGTAGGTCTATGAATTTACAGTCTCGAACATACATTTAAAGTTATCAGATTTTACAGTGTATAAAAGTATGTACAAATAAAGTAACCTTCGAACAAAATCCTGAACACCTTCAACACCGTCGCTCTGGAAATATAAGGCTTCTATGTAAGCTTGTACCAAAAGACGTCTTTTCGGATGTTTTCCGAAATCCTAGAAAATCGTAAAAGGAAATTAATTAAAATAATTAAATTAGTTAAAATAAAATAATTCCTTTATACCTCACTGTGTTACGTAACAAATCAGAACATTAATTAAAATAATTAAATTAGTTAAAATAAAATAATTCTTTTATATCTCACTGTATTACGTAACAAATCAGAACATTAATTAAAATAATTAAATTAGTTAAAATAAAATAATTCTTTTATATCTCACTGTGTTACGTAACAAATCAGAACATTAATTAAAATAATTAAATTAGTTAAAATAAAATAATTCTTTTATATCTCACTGTGTTACGTAACAAATCAGAACATTAATTAAAATAATTAAGTTAGTTAAAATAAAATAATTGAAAAAAAAAATGTGCGTCAACATTACAACTCTGTGGGTAAAATTTTAAGGGGTTAAAACTATATCATAAAAATACAAAAAAAAAACAACGTTACTCAAGGAGATGGATTTAGAAAACATGATCATACAGTCTCAGAAAGTGATCTTGATATTACAGTACCGGGAACATTACATCTGTAGGTGTATTGGGTGAATGTTGATTTGTAATCATGTTCTACTATCAACTAGGCCTTTTTTATTCATCATGTACATTACCATGTAGCTTTTCATTGCAGGAATTTAAAGAAAACCAAAGAGATTCCTATTGCCATAAAACTGTCGTTCTTTCATCGTCTAGCTCCTCTCAAATTTCATGCACACTTTTAGTAAGCACTAAACACTGATATTTCGATCAAACTATTTTTGTTTTGCCATATAATGTACACAATTTTCATTTTCAGCATTTTTATTTTAGCTGATCTTTAACTCTTCACATTCCTCCTTAAGAAAATAAAAAAGGCTACAAATCGTCTCTTATGGTTATGCCTAGCCTATAATTGGATGGGCAAAGATACTTTAACTAGCAAATAATATCTCAGTTATATAAGTGCAATATTATATATATTATATCACCTTGTGTTTCATTTTAATAGTAGCCCTCTGTTATAATGTTAATGCAATAGTTAAAAGTGTTTATAAGACGCTAGCAAAATACTTTCTATGGTAAAACTGTTAACATGCGGGCTTACCGTATAAACCATACGTACCACTGAGTGTTTAAGAATTCGTTGTACGATAGATGGCAGCACTTTTACAATGACGTAGGAGCCAGGGCTTTCCTTACAGTGCTTAAAAAAAAAAGAGAGATCGCACAAAATATTTCAATGAAATTCACAGCGTTTCAATACGTTTCATATTAATTCTATGTTCCATGTCACATTTCACTTATATCTTATTATCATGAAAAACAAACAAACAATAACACGTTTTACTGCTCGTCTGTAACATCCATGTAAGTTATAAACTACTGTTGAGAAATTGGTCCTTATTGGACTACGGAGGGTTACTTTTCGTCTTTCTAAATGTAGTATTTATTAACCTAAAATATTATTATGTTCGTATAAGTATATGCCAATTTCAGGAAATAATTTTCACTTATTACCCCTAGTGGTCCTGTTGTAGTAACCTCTTTTAATTAATTTTTTTAATCTATACTTTTATTTCGCTAGGAAAAAAAATTCCTCTCTACAGTTTACTACAGACGATAAATGGCATTTCGAGTATGGAATGTTGTAGGAATGAAAAGCCATATTTGTTCCTAATTTTCAAGCTTCGACGTGAAGCTTGCGAATAAAGATTAAGCCTGATAAATGGCGTATTTCCATGATTGTTTGCGTCCGAGATTTTCAGATACCTCTGTTAGTAGGATCCATTTTACATTTCTACGGATTTTAGCGTTTTAAGTCCGTAAATTTACCGCTGTCTAATTGTGATCAGAGAAAGTATAATATACCGTGTTTAGTTTGTCTGATTATGATCAGATAAAGTATAATATACCGTGTATAGTTTGTCTGATTATGATCAGATAAAGTATAATATACCGTGTTTAGTTTGTCTGCTTGTGATCAGATAAAGCATAATATACCGTGTATAGTTTGTCTGCATGTGATTAGATAAAGTATAATATACCGTGTTTAGTTTGTCTGATTGTGATCAGAGAAATTAATAAAAATTTGCTGTCACGGACTAAAATTTCTAAAAAGTTCTTCAAAATTACCATTAGCTGTTTGTCTTGACACAGGATTTTTGTGTGTACGATAAAAAAGAGGCGTATATCATTCAGTTTAAATGCTTGCTATAGTATATTATATTCAGTTTAAATGCTTGCTATAGTATATTATATTCAGTTTAAATGCTTGATATAGTATATTATATTCAGTTTAAATGCTTGCTATAGTATATTATATTCAGTTTAAATGCTTGCTATAGTATATTATATTCAGTTTAAATGCTTGCTATAGTATATTATATTCAGTTTAAATGCTTGCTATAGTATATTATATTCAGTTTAAATGCTTGCTATAGTATATTACATAAGTTTAGTAATTCCATATTTTTTTCTCTCTTTTTGTGCACATATTATCAATTTTTCCCTCAACTGTTATTGGATCTAATATTTCATTATCTGTATCTCATCTGATGAATGTTTAACTTTGACAAATTAATGACTATAAATGTAAGTTTAGAGTAGGTTAGTTGTCTAAGCAAATTTATAATTTTCCAATTCTACTTCTTGAAGAGACAAAATACTACAAAGATTCGTGTTTTTCATTTCAGTTCACTTCCTAAATAAGATTTTTTTTATTACAAATATAACTTCTCATTAGTGTAATGAAATCTATACTTGTCCATGGTTACTGAAAGGGGTGGCATTCTCCGAAACCGTTATAACTTAGTGACAACTGGTGAATCGAACGATAGATGGGGCTTCGTGTTTATTTTTAGTACCTAAAACAATATTTTGATCAACTTATTCTCAAAGTGTTTTAACATATTTTCTACCAGTTTCCTTTCCAGTATTCTTAACAGGGGTTAGGACATAGAACCTTTAGCTTTAGGAATATCACACTTAGTAGAAATATTTTTGTTTCTTAGTTTCGGGTATTCGCACAAAGTTAACCATGAGCTATCTGCATCATCCTTTCCTAAGTTTGTGCTGATATGCAGTAGAGCGGTTCTCAGTTTGTGGTCTCTTCAGATGGAAGTGTTACATGATTACGGAAAAGAATTGTGGCCTGCAGAGATAAAACAAAATCAGCTGGTCTATGAACAAAAACTTTGAGAACCATAGACTAGAGGAAAGACAGCTAGTTAACAACATCCATCGCACACTCTTGGACTACCTAATTGAATAGTGGGATTTGATTCAGATTTTACGGCAACGGGACGCTAAACATGAACTTTCAGATTCACTCTCCGACATGCTAACCACAAGGCCTAGTACAAAGATGTGTGTGTGTGTGTGTGTGTGTGTATGATATTAGATTACTGTAAGACCGCTAATAAATGATAATGCACCATTATTTGCTCCGTGCGTGACATTACACCCAACGAAGAATGATGTCACACATAAATATATTATTCTGAACAAGACACGTCCGGTATGGCCAGGTGGTTAGGGCGCACGACTCGCAATCTGAGGGTCGCGGGTTCGAATCCCCGTCACACCAAACATGCTCGCCCTTTCAGCCGTGGGGGTGTTATAATGTGACGGTCAATCCCACTATTCGTTGGTAAAAGAGTAGCCCAAGAGTTGGCGGTGGGTGGTGATGACTAGTTGCCTTCCCTCTAGTCTTACGCTGCTAAATTGGGGACGGCTAGCGCAGATAGCCCTCGTGTAGCTTTGCGCGAAATTCAAAAACAAACAAACTTAACAAGACTTTTTAAACTGAAGAGTATACTGTTATTTTCAATCTGTTGAAGCTTTATTAATCTCCACTTTTGAATTTCTAGTAATTTTCTCCGACAGTGGAATTCTATGGATATATTGAGAGTAGATTCAGTTCGTTTTGCATTCTTGGTTCATACATGTTTGTATAGAATATTCAATTTTTTAGGATTTAGAGAAGGTTGAAATAATACATCCAGATACGACATTATACATACTAATCACTTATGAGTGAAAACAAAGAAGTGTGTGTTATAATATGTTTACCAAACTACATTTGCAATAGCCAGTCCAAAGAGTCCTTTCGTCCATTACCATGACTCATCAAGCCGGCTGGCATACAACATACGTAGTAGGGGTATATGCTATCCACATAATCTATTTTTGTGATATATTATAAAATCATCAGCGCTTTGCTTTATAAAGTGGTCATTTCCTCTCTTTAAAACCTCCTAATTTTACTTTGCTTTCTTGTACATTACACTTTAAATATTAAGTCGCCTTTTCTACATAGTGTAAAATAATAATAAAAAATAACAGTTTTACTTTATCATAATGCAGAGGATGAACATTGCCTTTTTTTAAAAAGGTTTTCACTTACCCAACATAGAAACTCGCAGATTTCATCAGAAGGACTTGCACGTTCTAATAAGGGCGCCACGATACTGATTACAGTTTCTCTAGAAGATAGTGGAAGCTGTTTTTGGTCCTGAAAAAGTCGGAATATTAAGATGTAATGACTGTTTATAGTACCTGTTAAAATCTAAGGTTTATAACGACACAAAAAGATTTTACGTACCACAGTTTTCTGGCAGTACAAGAAGGGTCAAGGATGGTCATTATAAGACAATATTGCTAACATTTTAAAGTAGTTTAAAGATCTGAACTTAGGGGTCTCACGTTCTGTAACATTTGTAGCCTTAAAACTACCGACAGGGTAAATACCTCATTGGGTTTTTATAGACATTACCTTAAAATATTTATGCACCAAACTGCTTACGGGATCATGAATTTTTGGTTACGGAACCCGTAGTAAAATATGAGCTATCAATACTTCATTTAATACCACTAATTACTGCTGGGGTTTCTCATGTAAAACTTCGAGTACCAGGAACGTCGAGAGCCAGGACGGGCCCCGTGGCAAACATCCTCGCCGCCCCACCCCCTTCTCTCTCTTTTTTAACATTTTCAAGACTTTATTAAAAATAAGATCCTAAATTAGGACAGCAACG